AATTAAATGAAGCAACTAGACCCAAAAGCGGCACTTGTTTGGATAATTTTGCTCACAATTCCAAACGAAAATGTGAGAGTAAAGTAATCGACTTCGCGTTGTCGGACCATACCGTTCAAATTTTAAAAATTCAATTAAAAATACATGTGTTCCAAATTCTGGGCACATTCAGAAACAAAATTTGTCCAATGAAAATTTAACTTTATTTGCAAAGTATCTAGAATGTCTGTCTTTTGCAGAAGTATTCGAAACAAATAACTCTAACGAGGCATACGATAGATTCATTGAGTTGTTTCGCTTATTGCATGATTTATGTTTTACACGTCAACTAGGCAGTACAAGATCCGATAAAGAAGTTAAATGGATTTCGTGGGGAATTAGAATTTTTGAAAGTATAAATAAATTTAAAAATTATTCACGGAGACTAAAAAAAATTATCAATCTCACGCAAGAAGCTCAAAATAATTACCTATTTAGCTGTTACACAAAATAAAGCTAAGATGTCGTGGCAGATAATCAATAATAACAGTCGAATGAAAGAACCAATATTACAAATTAATAAAACAGATAAATTAGTTACAGATCCCAAGCAAATTGCTGATACATGTAATGATTTTTTCGTTGACTAGATACAAAATATAGGTAATAAATAACCCGGAAATAATGGTGGTAATCCTCATGTCAGAAACATTTTATTCATGCCTCCCGTATACCTCAAAGATATTTTACGAGCCGGTACTGCTGCTGCTGCTGCCGAGAACCTCAAACGGCGATAGTATGATAGCCTGATTGGCAATTATGCTTTCGAACCGTTTGGGGTTGAAACTTTAGAGCCGTGGGGCCCAAGTGCACATCTTCTTGACAAAGATATTGTAAGGAGGATGGTTGACACTTCAGTTGATCGAAGGGCTGGCTTCTACCTTGGACAAAGGTTAAGCATTGCTATTCAACGTGGCAATGCTGCCAGTCTTTTGGGCACCCTACCTCACGATAGCGATGAGGAAAAAAAATTTTTTGATGCCTTATTAAACCTTTTTTATAATTATTTTTTTTTTTAAGTGTAAATATTTTTGTTCATACTTAACTATTTATATTTTTAGTTGTATATATTTTCATTTAGTAATAGTTAATATTAATTGTATATAATTGTTTACTGTAATATCATAATTAGTATCATTGAATATTTTACGTGTAATAAAACACTTGAAAAATAAAAATAGTTTTGTTCTCGATGAAGTTTCCACCGCGGTAATAAAATTCGTATCTGAAGTCATAGCTAAACCTTTGACACGCATAATAAATGCATGTATAAGCTCAGGCATATTTAGATACAATTCATTTCTTTAATTATGATCTTAATTTTCATCTTTAATTTTTATTTCGACTAGTCATGATGACTTTGTTTTGATAAGGAATGATAAAAATAAATGTCAAAAAAATAAATGTCACGAAAAATCTTATTAAATTATGTATTTAATTTTTATAATTTAGTAATTAGCTACTTATTTAGGTATAAAGATTAGTAACGATAGTAAATCGGTGTCATGCACTCATAAAGGTAAATTTTGAAAAAGTTTTACTAAGTGTCCTGTAGTTACCTTTCTGCCACTTAGAATCTAAAGTACTTAACTATGTAAAAGGATACAAACCAAACCTTACTGAGTCGGAGTTTCAGTAAATAAAAATAAACATGTACTTGGCAGTGATATTTTTATTAAAATAAATAAGTAAATAACTTCATAAAAATAATTTAGAACTTAAAAATACAATAATAACGCGAAGAGTGACGATTGGTTTCAAACCATGTCATGACGTCTAATGTGATAATCACTATAATTTAGCCTAGAGTGTGATGATGAAGAAGTTTTTATTCGGCCTTATAGAATCTCTTCGCAACGCCATCCCATTTCTCATAGGTAAGGGTCTGGAAAGCAAAATATTAACATGTTAGAAAAAACAACAACTGCTTTGTTAATCAATGAATCGCAAGTAAAACATCAAGCGATGATTTTATCATTTCAAAACTAAAGAGTACTGCGCGAACTTTGGGGCCAAGTTGACCAAATATTGCATTTTGTGTTTATTTTTTAACTTTATGGGAATTAAAACTTTCAGTAATAATCTCATTTGACACAAAACCTTCTAAAAATAAAGTTGATAAAAGAATTTTTGAAAAGTTATGCTTATGTAACATTATAGTGCCATGTCACTGTTAAACAGTGTTACTCACTGTTCCAAGAGTTAACAAGAGTGCCAATATTTTTAATGAACTTACCACAACAAGATCATCTCCATTGTACTCTCTCTTGAAGACGGCAACACCCCTCTCAGGAGACTTGACTGTTTGTGTCATGGTATTGCCTTCAACCACGTATGTGCTCTTAACCTGGAAGATACAAATTATAACATTTAGTTCGTTTATAAATTAATAACAGATTATGAATAGAATCAAAATCTAAGTATTATTATTTTTGTCTCCATTAAGGTGACTTGATATGGAAGAGACTAACTACAAACTGTGCTGCAACGAAATTCGTATTTGATTGCGATTCCGGTTTGTAAATTAAATGGGTTTAGATTTTTTATGGAATAGGAGGCAAACATGCTGACGGATCACCTGATTGAAAGCGATCAGCACCGCCCATGGACACCCGCAACACCAGAGGAGTCACAGGTGCGTTACTGGCCTTTCAAAATTAATACGCTCTTTTATTGAAGGTGTTTCTGGTTGAAATATTTCTAAATGCACTCACAAACCAGGAGCACAATCCTGTTTTATAAAGAAAAAAAAGTTTGTACTTACAGGCGTTTTTGAGGCGCCAAGAAGTTCATCAATTTCTACTCCAGATTTGAATTTGACTTCCTGCGGTCCTTCGGGTGTAATGTTATAATAAGTGTAAGTATCTCCATCCTTAGTCAGCTTCTGGTCGGGAGCGAACTTCTTCAGCTGCTCGAGCCTATCTTCAGCCACACCTGTAATATTGATTGATGTATTAGATTTCTTTCTTGAAAATATAGGTATACCTAAACCTGTCCATCGTGAAGCGTTCTTATTGCAGATGAGGAACATAGTCTAAGAGTGGACTGCAAAACAATGCTTGCGTTGTATTTCGCCATATGAGTGAGTCCAGACAGCGCACTTGTAACTCGATAGACGATATTGATTGTTTACTATCTAGATAAGCCATCTCCTAATTTACATCCTGTCCTAAAAAAAATTGATGATGGCGACCTCTCGCGTCCGGGCCTAGTGCAGGCCATGATGCGGAGCGAGGGGGACTGGGATGCCGTCTCCCCATTTTGCGAAGAAGTCATGCTAGCTAAGGAGGAGGCGGGACGCGTGAAGCAGCGAAGCGCTGCCTCCTCGCAAGCCAGCCATCGCGAAGGACACACCGGGCGTCGGGGGTCGCGGGACTATCTCCGGCCACCGTAAGCGCAAGCGCGGGCCTGCGGACGGCGAGCATGGGTGGCTCCCCGTCCGACCAGAAACAGACCCGAGCGTACGGAGCGTCGCGTTCCGCGCGCGCCTCAAAGAGCCATCAGACCACCACAGATGGGCCCAACAGGGCCGATGCCGATTCGGAGTCGCGGAGAACCTAACGGGTAACCGGGGCTCCGGCTCGACGTGCAGGAGAAGTAACGGGGTGGTTTTTAGTCAGTAAGAGTCTGACACTCCCTCCCGCCTCACCCAGGCAGGAGCAGTCATTCAATGATATTCCCCTCTTAAAAAAAAATCCCAAAAAATACTGGCACGTAATAAATAGTTAAGATTTAAATAGCGTTCAAAGATTACTTACCAACTGCCTTGAGGAAACCATCAAAGTTCTCCTGGCTGACGAATTTGTAGTTCTTGTTAAGGAAAGACATGTTTGCTTCAGATCTTCAGGTCAACTGATGGTTAGTATCCCAATACTAACAGTATTTATTATGGGGACTAATCTCAGAGATTTGATAAACCTACATGAGTAAGCATTTTATAAAAAAGTGCCTAAAAATCGTGACGTTTTAGGTTTTGCGAATGACTAATTTGTACTCATTATTGTTTTGTCTATAATCTCGGAAGTTTGATTGCTAATTATAATGTTTAATGAGATTGATTGTGTTTAATATCATCGATAGGGTACGTCTGTTTTTGTAAAGTTTATCATTATTTTTTTATAGGTACGATTGAACTAAGCTATTGCGGATACCACGGTAATCGATATCAGTTGAGAAATTAAACTTCCTCTCTTATTGAATACGCTAACTCTTCAAAAGGGAGGAAAGTGGAAACTATCGTTTTTTTTCTCCTTTCATAATATTTTCTGATTCACTTCGTTGTGGGAACCAAAACAGTTATTCATGTCCCTTGGACGCACCGGACTTCAGTGTTCTGGTGTTTTCATGGTTGTATCTACTGTAGATCCTGGCTTACAGGAGTTGCAGCGGTTTCGGGAGGCTGTGGCGGGCTTGTCCCAATTAAAAAAATAACTCTTCAAAAGTATCACTTCAACTTTTAGACCACCTGAATCTGGTCATATTGCAAAATCGGTATTAATTACATTTTTATATAAAGCATTCAGAGTAATTGACTTAGGTAGTGGAAAAGACTCTTTACTTATTGGAAATGTAGGTATTTAGATGGCTATTTTATGTTCCATAAACTTGGAAATGAATATTTTGTAAAATCAGTTTATCATAACATAACATCACACCTTTTATCCCTAAAGGGGTAGGCAGAGGTGCACATCACGGCACTTAATGCCATTGTGCCATGTAACACCCACTTTTTACCATTTATGTTATGAGACCTATGTAATAGGGCTATATACCGGGCACAATTCCAGACTAAGAATTTCTTTAAAACCCAATAATACTGTGTTTGACCCGGGAATGGAACCCAAGACCCCTTGCTCCGCAGTCGCACTTGCGACCACTTGGCCAACGAAGCAGTCTTCAGTTTACCACCAAAATTATCTATTAGTTGAAAATAATCACTACTAAACTTTATGACAAGACCCATTGTCTCACGAGAAATGTTTTTTAAAGTGATGATATTAAATTAAATCGTGTAAAAAATATAAGGAATGAATTCTAGAAAAAGGGCCTACAGTAAAATAGTTTTAGGAAATAGAACTTAAAATATACTAACTACTTTCACACGTTTGCTCGGCTCCTATTGATCGTAGTGTTATGTTTTGTAGTCTATGACCTTCCTCGATGAATGAACTATCCAACACAAAGAGAATTATTGAAATCGGACAGGTAGTTCAGGAGATTAGCGCGTTTATACAAACAAACAATCAAACTCTTTAGCTTTATGTAGTAGTATAAGATATAAGATAAAGCTGGAATAGTCTTAAGTAAAACCTATTCCAATACAGTTTATTGATCAACCACCAGTATCTATGACATTTAATTAATTTATTTATTTATCTATTCCATCCTCACTTTGTCACATGGCATGTTCGGCATTCTATACCAGTCAATCTATTAATCATTTGAACAGTGTTTCAAATAGATGCGATATTTATCTTATTGTAATTCTCATTAAGAAACAGTTTTTAAACCTAAAATATCATGCTTAATTGTTGCACTTATAGCCACTGGACCCCCAAGACAGTCAACAATAAATCATGATAATAATAATTATAAAAATCCTTTGTCACTATTAATAAGCATAACTTTTACTACGAGACTGCATAGTAATTATACTAATGACTGATTATTTAATTATTAGTTTTCTTTAATCGGATCTTAATCGATTAGCATAAACATAAATATTGCTTGAATGGGCATCGGGCTATCATTCGTTCATTCAGTAAAATCGCAATCAACATGTCTTTCTTTGGCAAAACTTACAAATTCGTGAAGCAGGAAAATTTCGATGGATTCCTCAAAAGTGCAGGTTTGTAAGGCTTTATTAATATCTATTAATGTCCTCTGGTATGATTTAAACGAGATAATCTAGATTACACTTCTTTTCATTTCATAATCTAGAAGCTTCCTGGAAATATTCCCTTGAAACAAAGAAAAGTTTCTTACTGTTGCCTTTTGTCCTTTCGTGACTTTTGTTTAAAACGCGGATTCACGCAAGACATAGTGTATTGTCTATTGTGTCTCATATCGGTGCACTCAAGGGGTTAATGTATGAAAATAAAATATAATGAAATAGTATTTTAAATAATATTCAAATCTTATTTGAAGTCTACACTAATATGCTGTATATTTCTTCATGAAAGGATTATAAAGCGAAAACCATTACCGTTTTAAGAAGACGACATATCTGACAAATAGATAACTTCCAAAATAGTATTGTACTGTTAATTTTAGGAAATGTTTCTCATTTTTCTAGGTATGCCTGAAGAGAGGGTCGCCAAGATCCTGGAGGGTAAACCAGAACAGAAACTGACCAAGGATGGAGACACGTACACGCTTCTGACAGTGTCTCCAGTAGGTACTAATGAAGTCAAATTCAAGTCTGGAGTAGAGTTCGATGACGTTCTTGGGCCAGAGAAGAAACCTGTAAGTATTTCGTTTTATTTTGGATAATATTTTATTAATTTTCCCCTTCTTGGTTTTGAAATGATTTTTTATTAATTTCAATAAATTTTATTGTAACAATACTTTGCCTTTTCTCATTTTCAAAAATTAGATTAGTTAATCAAAAAATAACCAATACAAATCTAGTTTTTTGATGCTAGGTCTATTGGAATTAAGTAAATAATTATTTATTATATGAATCCTTCTTTCAGATCAAAAACACTTTTATCGTTGATGGAAACACAGTGACACAGACGGTCAAAGCCAAAGAACTCAACGCCACTATTAAGAGGGAATTTAACGGCGATGATCTTGTGCTGGTAAGCTAATAACATAATAGCAATTCATAATTTCTCTTCTCGTAAATAGTCCCAATTTTAAATATAAATAACGTTAAACTTATTTAATAATAAGTTTTCAATTTCATCGCTAAATTATAGTAAGGGCCACTATCTACATAATTATGTGTCTGTATGGGCCAATTAGGTAGACCATTAACGATGCCTGTAACAATTTTTCTATTCTATTCAGAATATCTTTCATTATTCCTATCCCTAATATATCCTTTGGCGTATTTTGTAACATGACTAAAACAAGACTGCCGCAAGGTTCTATATTAGGACCATCGTCATATTTTACACTGCAACAATGTTTTAAGTATCCAGAATATTGAATTTGTTATTATATAACTTTCAGACTGCTACCAGGGACAATTGGAATGGCACTGCTAAAATATTCTTTAAAGCTTAATTACTATTATGTATTTATTTGTTATTTCTGCTAAATAAAGATTTTGTCATAAAAATATTTGTACTCTTTTCTCCTTTTTGATTTTTGGTAGCGATTAACATTTCCATGAATGATATACAATATCACTTGGTTTTATCTTTTAACTACAAGTTTAATACATTTGGGCTTCCCACGACGGTGTGTCTGCCGGTGCCTGCCTGTGACCGTGGCCCGGCCATGCCCTTATGAAATCACCATACCTGGCAGGCCTCGACCTACCGCTATGTTTGCGGCAGGTCCCGTCAAGTTAGCAGCCCAGCAGCTGTAGCCAAATATCATTTAGCGCTTGTCTACATGTAGAATAGAAAACCAAATTATATGGAATTGACGTAAGTTTTCACACTTGTCAGTGTCATCCCCATAGATTTTGATTTTTACTCTCTCTATAGACAAGCGCTCAAGCGGCGTTTGGCTAAAGGCCCTGGGAGAGTGCTTCCCTTCCTCGAGTGGCGCGCGTGGAATACTACGCTAACGCCTACTCCCTATACAGTTGATACCTGACTCCCCAATTCAGTCATCCGCAGATTTCATATTAAATACTTAATCTTAAAGACGATATCATTTATTCTTTTACTGCACACTCAATTACTATTAGGATTCTAATTTCATTACAATTGTACTGTGGTACTGCTGCTAGTCTTTTGGGAACGTTCTCCAGTGATAGTGATAGTTCTTTGACGCCTAACTTCTTTTTAAGTTTTTTTTATTCACTGTTTTAGTTTAAACTGTCAAACACCGCGAGGACACTGGTGACCGCAACCTATTGTTCTTAAATTGTGTCTATAATGGCGGTACTCAACGAGTTAAGTTCATTTTAGGTTGTTATATTTATTGAAAATAATGTTAATATTATGTTATACATACATATTCCTATTGAAAGAATTTCCAATGTAGTAAACCTGTGACAGGAAAAATAAATAAGTATCTATTATATCATATCATAACATCACCCCTTTTATTCCCGAAGGGGTAGACAGAGGTGCACATTACGGTACTTAATGCCACTGTACCATGTAACACCCACTTTTCACTTTTTTATATTTTGAGTCCCATGTAATAGGAGGTGAGCCTATTGCCATATTCCAGGCACAATTCCAGGTTCCGTGCCACCACTGAGAATTTTTAAAACCCAGTAATACTTTGCCCGACCCCAGAATCCAACCCGAGACCCATTGCCCGGCAGTCACACTTGTGACCATTCGGCCAACGAGGCAATCAGCAGAGGTATCTATCATCAAGATTAATCTGTTTAATAATCGTAATTTCTAGAATACTACGCTCAATTACATAACTGAAGTGACCATTTTATCGTCTGATATGGGGCAATAAGAACGTCTTGTAGTATCTTAGATAATAATTTTTAGTTAATTCTCTACTATCAATACTAAACTTTATTGTGAGTATGATAAGGATGATACTGATATAAAATATCACCCAGCAATTAGCAACAAAATTGCTCCACGTTATGATAGTTAAATAATATTTTGCAAATTATGAGGAAAAAGAGTAAATAACTGTATGGTATTTTGGATTTATCATTAACATCATTCCGTCAGATACTCATTAAGGCTGGTTTTAGTCTGACGGCCTGACGCTGACGGGCCACCCACCGTCAGCGCTGATGGCCGAAATATATGATTCATACATCTCGGCTGTCAGCGCTGACAGTCAGCGTCCGGTCAGGACGACACTTAAACCAGCCATATATATATCGGCTGTTATCGCCGACGGTCAGCCTGCGATCATGGACCACAAAAATAGATAGCTGAGACTGCAATACAATTGAAAACCCATTCATCTTCAATTAAACTGTCAAACACCAAGCGGTCACCGGTGACCGCAACCTATTGTTCTATAATTGTGTCTATAATGACGGTACTCGACGAGTTAATCAAACTGATTGACATTATATCACTCGTCAACATGTTGACATTATGAATATTTTATCATAATTATATCATTAATTATTGTTATATGGGTTCCTATGCACTGAACTTTCATAGCAATGAACAGTATTGTCTTGCTGAATAATTCACAAACCTGTAGAATTGTCTTTAAACCGTATAGTTTTTCTTGGATCACTTTTAATGCATATCATGACAGCTAAAATACCTTTTTTTGTTTCTTGATTATTTTTTTTAAAAAACGGGCCCCACTCCGCGGTTTCTCCTGTATCGTAGGTGCTTTTACATACATACAATTTCACATACACATGACACCCAGACCCGGACCAACAATCTGTGGACGGGACGTGGAAGCGACACGTTGCGTGGCAGCCAGATACCTAGATACCGCGCCAACCGTGCAGTCATCTTGATACACAATCCTGAGATTCAAATAATAAAAACGAAAATAAAACTGTAGGTACTAAGTGAAAATTTTGACTTTATTACAAAAATAAATTAAATTATGAACTATTCATTAATTGTTGGTTGGTTTATTTATGCAGCCTTGTAGTACCTCTTGGCGGAGCCGTCCCAATTGTCGAGGGTGACGGTCTGAAAATACGAATGAAATAATTAAATAAATTCCCAAAATAGCGTGGGTCCTACGATGCCACCTTGCGGCACTCTTTTTAAAAACTATTGGTTTACGTTATTTAGCAGTTGTTCGATTATAAATGGTTGTAGTAGTTCGTGTATATGATGTTAATTTGGTAGCAACAGTATATGTTTAGTTATATTAGTTAGACGCGTTAATAATGTTATTAACTTAGTGAAAGTTTCCAGGAAAAGATGTGTTTTCTAAAACTACAATTATTATTGTTTTTTATAGGATAAGCCAGTAAACGAACGTTTGTTCGTCGATCACCTGATGGTAAGCAATCGGCGTCGGCCATGGACACCCGGAACACCAGAGGCGTTATAAGTTCGATACTGCACTTTAGGAATTAGGAGTTTGAGGGTTGTTGGGGATTCAGGGATTGAGGAGATCGTTGAGTAACTCCGGTCGAGCTGTTATTGATAAATTCATTAAAATGATGTACTCACCACAACCAAATCGTCTCCGTTGTACTCTCTCTTGAAGGTAGCGACTCCAGTGGCTCCTTTAGCTGTCTGGATCACTGTGTTACCGTCAACAACGATTGTGCTCTTGACCTAGTTAACAAAAAGTAATAATAAATTATTATTACGAGTAACATGAAATAAGAATGAAATACACATTTTGTTCATTATATAATACTTCAGATGAAAAGATTTGAGAATTTCGTTATTTTGATAAAGTCACTTTTTAGCACGACTGCTGATCACTTGAACTTCTTTTATAGGAGTGTTTTAGAAAGAAATTCACTTGGTTCTTAGGTAGGCTATTCTCTAACTGTTAATTCAAACTCAATCGCATTCATGCCTGTCATTGGTCAAGTTTATTTTGACAATGACATGGCGGACCACGATCGAGATTCACATCAATATTTCAAATTGAAAGTTACAGGATAGCCTAGTAGTTTTCTACCACTAGTAGTTTTGGCTGCTTGACATCTATGTTACCAGACATCAAAATTTATTATACTTTTTAGTCTCAGGCATGAATAAAAAGCTATTGTAACTTAACTAAAAATTACGAGTTACTCAATACTCGTGCGCAGACGCGGCAAATTCACGCACCGAGACCGAGCATGCTGCTTATGAGGAAGAATCCCTCTGTGACTCGAAACTAGTAGAGCTTATCTCAGTATATTTACGTGAACAACTCGTAATTTTTAGTAAATTCAGCATGTCTCGCGATAGTTGTTATATAATACTTACGGGAGTCTGTTCAGTGCCAAGTTTGTCATCGAATTCCACTCCAGACTTGAATTTGACTTCCTTGGTGCCGAGAGCTCCTGAGACGATGTAGTTGTAGGTGTCACCATCCTTAACGATCTTTTGGTCTGGTGTGTAGCTCAGGGTCTTTTCGATTTTGTCTGCAGGGACACCTGAAATGAGAATATCATGGTAATTGATGTTATTATTTGGGTTAAGTATGGGATGTTCTAATACTTTGGTGGATTAATTCATGGTCTATTAGAAGATGAATTTAAACCAATGGGACAAATCAGTTGAACAAAAGTTGTGATTGTAATGTTATTTTGCCCACTAACGGCTTTCAGTTAAACGAACAGCTGTTTTTTATATTTGATGAGCCGAAGTTCGACCACAATCTCGCCTGGTAGTAAGCGATGATGTCTAAGATGGAGCACGTTGTCTCATAAGCAACCTATTCACGCAGACCTATAAGACACCCAGGTTATACCCTTCAGAAAATACAGGCTTTCTAACAGGAATGCTGACAAAGTATAAAAGAGAAACATCGGTTTTATCCGTCATTTAGGGTCACCTAAAAATGACTATGAAATGAATATGACTGCACGGTTGGTGCGGTGGCTGGGCAGCCGACTGCCGTGCAACGTGTCGCGGGTTCGATTTACGCACGGAGCAACACTTTGTGTGATCCACAAATTGTTGTTATGGGTCTGGGTGTCATGTGTATGTGAACTTGTATGTTTGTAAACGCACTCACGACACAGGAGATAATCCTAGTGTGGGACAACGTTTTGTCAAAAAAGGAAGAAAAATCACATATAAATGTTCTATTTTAGTACGAAAAATGACTTCTATAAAACTGATAATTTAATAAGCCACATCACTCCCATTTTAAACATCCTTTAACACTCTGTTGGATCTTTACCAAAAATAAGATAATGCACTTAATGTATATTATTATAAAACTGCATTTCAAATAACATACCAGATGCCTTGAGGAAAGCATCGAAGTTCTCCTGGCTCACGAATTTGTAAGTCTTATTAAGGAAAGCCATTTTTACGGTTAGTTTTTACAAAAAACTATTCTTCAATGCTTGACTTTTGAAGTTTCGTAACTTTATATCGTAACACTTATCAAAATGATAAATTATAATTTATTTGGTTATATAGTGGCAATAAAAGTGAACTTATTAGTTGATAGATACCCATCGCAATACTTAAGTATCTTGCAGACTTGGTTCATTTGCCGACCGTAAAAAATGAAGTTAATATTAGCAAATGCCTGCCTCTTTGGCCGAGTGGTCGCAATTACTACTGCCGGGCAAGGGGTCTCGGGTTCGTTTTCCGGGTCGATCACTGTTTTACTGAGTTTTTTAAAAAAAATCACTGCTTCAAAAATGATTGCCCTGGTATTGTGGCTAGACAATGTGAATCGACGATTTAGTAAAGGAAGCAAAGAGCAACTGTCTGATCTGGTCTTCCAGATCATTGTGGGAAGTGTACAATCTACAGAAGACGTCTTGCAGATGATATGGTGGGGTTAAGAAAATTCTAATGAATTCTTGCGTGAGAACAGATCAAGCTAAAGCCAACGTTCATTTAGAACGCACATTAAGGCATCGTGTGTATCGAAACGTAGGTATTAAATCGTCAATCGCTAACGTCGATAAAGGTGAGTGTGCTAGTCTCTTTAAGTTGAACAAAATAGCTGATATCTTAAGACATATCTTTGGACAAGGTGCAGTTTTATTATACACTTAGTATTATTACATTTACAGTTGATACAGTTTGAAATTCATCGTGGTGGTATAAAACGGCAAGTCTATCTTATGAAATACTGTTTAACAATTAGTCAAAAGTTCAGAGCATTAAGCCCGTCAATGTTTTGCATAGATTCTATCATCATCAACAGCCAATAAGTGTCCACTGTTGACCAAAGCCGCTTCTCACAAGGAAAAGGTTTGAGCATTAATCACCAGGCTTGCTCAATGCGGGTTGACAATTTCAAACTTCTAATTAGAAATTATAAGCCCAGGTTTCCTCGCGATGTTTTCCTTCACCGTTTATCAAATAATCTTAGAAAGTACATATAACTCGGAAAAAGTCACATTGGTACTTTGCACGAGAAGCGGGTGTCTTAAACCTCCTAGTCACCACTGTTTTACAGTTACAGTTTACGGTTTTATCAGTAGATGATAATTCATCTTCTATTTTAATAGTATGTAACTCTGTTTCCTCATCTAAAGAACTTTGTGTATCAGTCAAATGTTCAAGTTCCAAAGCTAAATTAGTCACACCGATAATGCTTCAATACTTTACTACAGGTGGCTTATCATTGTGTACAATAAACCTTTTATTAGGTACCACGTCAATAATATTCGAACGATATTGTAGCTTGACATTATGACCCAGATTATCAGTATCAATTTTATTAATAAACTACATAATCGATTGATTATGGGTATGGTGGCTTATTCCTGACTTTCTCGGAAATTTTTCAAAAATATCAGCAAAAAACTTATCTGATTCGGTGCAGGCGTTCGAGAGTTTTTTACACTTATAGAAAGCCATAACCTAGCAGGGAGCAAAGAGGCCTAGGATGCCGTCTCCTCTTTTTGCGAGTAGTCATGCTAGCTAAAGAGGAGGCGGGACGCGTGAGGCAACGAAACGCTGCCTCCTCATAGCCCAGCGTTGGGGATCGCGGGACGATCTCCGGCAACCGGATGCAGGGGCCTGCGGGCGGCGAGCATGAGTAGCTCGCCGCCTGAACAGAACCAGACCCGAGCGTATAGGGCGTCGCGTTCCGCGCGCGGGTACTATTACCATAGTTTACTGTGCAATAGTTCTATGTATGAACTTTAGTCTAGGTGTGATGGGACATGCTCCTAAACACGAAAAATATTAAAATAAATGAAAAAAAAATTAAAGAAAGAATCGTTTTTATTTTCTTTTTATACGATATAAGAAAGGATAATTGTTTTTACAAATATATTTAATTAACATAACTTCCGGAAATCCGCAAGAGTTACGGTAGGGCTCGAAGCAGAAGTTGGAATGGGGTGGTTTTTATTTAAACAATAAGAGTCTGACACTCCCTCAAGAATCACCCAGGGCGGGAGGAGCAATGCAATAATTTTCCCCGTTAATAAAACACCTGTGAATAGTTGTAAAATTTTATTTTGAGCCCAAACGCTAATTATGATTTATGAGTCCAAACACTAGACACAAGAATCGCAATAGCAATAAAGTTATTCGGAGTCCTTGTTACCCTTTTTACTCCTGTCTATAATGACGGTACTCGACGAGTTAAAATAATTCGAATAAGGAACGCTGCGCTGAGCTCCACGACTAAAATCGTTGTCGTTGGCCATAAAGCCGCATGGTTGTAGTGGAACTGTGCTGGTCATGTCTGCCGTATGTCAGACGAGCAGTGGGCAAATCTTACTACTGAGTGGAGCCCACTCAACGTCAGTAGACGTCGCGCCAGGCCCAAAAGGAGATGGTGGGACGAATTAGACATCTATGACAAGGATTGGCCGCAAAAAGCTTCACATAGAGAGAGATGAAAGGAGGGTAGGGAGACCTTTGCTCTACAGTGGGATGATCATGGCTGAAAATAAAAAAAATAATAATATAAATTAAAATAAACTAAAATTTATTGAGAAAATAATAAGAAAACTTATAAGGAGTATTTACAGAGAGCATCAAAAAATTCGTCTTCTATAATCTTGTTAGGTCTTTACTTAGATCCAACTCTTCTCTTTCAAATAATATCTTCCAATTTGTTTCGTTATGAGATAGATTAAAAAACAGTTTATTTATGACTGTGAGTCATCGTTGGTCACCTACGCGTAGACGAGGACTAAAGAAATTTCGTTACAGTAGATACTATGTTTAGGGAAAAGTCCACAAGAGTCTTGCTTGATCGGATGTAATTTTTTTCTAGGTCAACCGTAAGTTCTTTTTTATACCTAATAGGATTTTTTTTTTTGAAAATCATCGAATGACTGCTCCCGCCTAGGTGAGGCGGGAGGGAGTGTCACACTCTTACTGACTAAAAACCACCCCGTTCCTTCTCCTGCACGTCGAGCCGGAGCCCCGGTTACCCGTTAGGTTCTCCTCCGAATCGGCATCAGCCCTATTGGGCCCCATCTGTGGTGGTCTGATGGCTCTTTGAGGCGCGTGCGAAACGCGACGCGCCGTACGCTTGGGTATACCTAATACTAATAGGATAGATAGATTGCTCACCAACTCGCCTGGTGGTAAACTATAAGTTAATGAGATAATTTGAAGTTTCATATTATTTATCTCGAGTTATTCAGTGATCATTTAAAGATTATAAAATCATGAACGTGAATGAAATAATTTCCTAAGTAATCATGATGACATGTTTAATTTTTGCGAAATTTGATGAAAAATCATTACAAATCCCAAAATGCAGTCATTATCGTAACCGAAACTTAATGATCATGATTGATTTGCTTTATTTAATCACCAAACTAATAATAAATATCGTACGAGTACCATAGATAAACTTTTGCACTTAAATATAATATTTAATCACCTAGTAGAATAGTCATAGGTGACTAATTTAGTGTTGAATGTCTATGTAAAAAATATGTAATTACATCGTAGATCGAGTAATCAAAATAATTTGTTATTTGTTTTCCAGGGCAATACTTCCGTTTGAATTTTATTATGGTACTGCGTGCTAAACGGTGTCGTACGTTGCATAGTATATTTAAGATTGAAATATAGCAAAGAAAACTGTTTTTATAGTGTTCAGTTGTGGGTTTTACTGGGTGCAAAATATAAATCAAAAAGGGCACAGCAAGATTTTCAATATTGCCAAATTTCAAACTCCCGAGAAATATTCCAGGCAACATTGGCAGGCAGCGTTGTGTTTCGTCGTGTGAGTGAGGTTACCGGAGGCCCAATTACCTTCCCCTTCCCCAATCTCCCCAATCCCTGAATCCCCAACGATCCTCAAACTCCTAATCCCCAAAAAGCCGGTGACGCACTTGTAACGCCTCTGGTGTTCCAGGTGTCCATGGGCGATGCCGAGTGCTTACCATCAGGTGATCCGTCTGCTCGTTTACCGGCTTATGCCATAAAAAAACCCCATATTTCCCCCTTAATAAATAATCGATCTAAAAGGGTTGTAGGCATTCAGATTTTTGTAGGGAAAGCAATTTAGTTTTATTGAAGTCACAGTCTCACAGATTGGCAGCTATCCATGTATGCAACATAGAAATTCCACGAAGATGAGAAGTGAAATATTTTGGTAGAAGAAAATATGTATATGAATTACGTCGTGAATTTTGATAACTCGATGCTGTCTGCTATACATTTCTGCTGCAGTGAAAAATTCTGCATTACCGGCTCATCGGCATCGTGTTATTTTCAAGGATTTTTTCTCCATTAGCAATAAGACAAATAAAAGGAAAATTAAATAATTTTAATAATAATAATAAATTCAATTGGTAAATATAATATTAATACTTTTCGAGGTAGAATTAAATAAATTAAGCCTTGTAGTATCTAGTGGCAACGCCGTCCCATTTGTTGGTTTTCAGGGTCTGAAATTAAAAGGTTCAACATTATTATGGATGCTCGCATTGTGTGAATATTTTATTAGTAAAACTGTTTGTCTTGTAGTTTCATTTCCGGTACAGTGATTGCAAAGGATCTTAATCAAAATTTACTGAATATATGCACTTTACGTGAAATCGGTGCCATCTACTTTCCACAACCCATAAGGGCCGATTTTTCCATCATCAGTTAATTCATAACTATAGGATAAAATTCACATTTCACAGTATGGAAGAATAGTCAAATATTCAAAGTTATTCCTAAGTTACAAGTTATCTGGCGTTGGAATAATCGGCCCTATGTGCATATAATGTTAAGCTAGATTAAACCCATTGGCAGTTAAGTTCAAGACATAAACGGTGTGGAGAAAGCAGAGTAGCAGTAAAGAAAGCTCTCTGATAAGTTGAACCTTCATAACTGCATCAACACACCTACAAGAAGAGGTTTAAATAATAATCCGTGGGCTGTCAGGGACTGCTAATGGTAGGTAATCGTAATGACTATTAAACGTCGTGGTGGCTCGGAGGTTTATGACGCACTTCTCATACATGAGGGTGCTAGTTCGAAACCTACCAACGGCAAGTACCAATGTGACTTTTTCCGAGTCATATGTACTTTCTAAGATTATCTAGACACCACTGACCAACGGTGAAGGAAAACATCGTGAGGAAACCTGGGCTTATAATTTCTAATTATAAGTTTGAATTCGCCAACCCGCATTGAGCAAGCGTGGTGATCAATGCTCAAACCTTCTCCGTGTAAGAAGAGGCTTTGCTCAGCAGTGGGCATTTATAGGGTGTTGATGATGATTAAAGATTTCAATATTGATAGTATTTGAATCCACAGCTACTTACCACAACCAGCTCGTTACCAGAGAAAGTCCTGGTGATGGTGAGGACTCCGTCATCGGACTTCTGGATCTGGGTGATGGTGTCACCGTCAACGGTGTAGGTGGTGTTGACCTGGAAGAAGTGGAGGATAGTCCAGTTACTACAATGACTTATCTACTTTTAATAAATAAAGTGCAAGTAAGGTGTATATTAATGAATATCTATAAATAAGAGTTAAATAAAATCAGGAGGTATATGATCAAGTTATCTTTTTTTATATATATAAATATATATATATAATTTAACTAGCAGCAAGTACTGAACACCTGCAATAAAGACAAATAAGTTGATTGATTCACACAGTAATTAAAAGATGATAAAGGTCTAGTACCTAAAGAGAATTACTAATATTAAAATCGGAAATACCTATATACAAACGACGTCTACATTAATAGAACCCTTAACCGACGAGCGTGGATTAAAAGGCTGATAACTGTTGATGAAGTGAAAGAGGTGAATCTTACCAATTCGTTTTCCATAGTCTCTCGCCCACCCCCATGAGAAACAGTTGTCTCTGCCATGAGAGAAAGACGTAAGGTAATGTATATGTATGTATGTATGTACAAACAGGTATGTACAAACAAACGACATCTGTTCAAAGAATACATAGAGATCACATCACAAGAAATAATGTGATGTTGAAAGCATCAATTGAAATACACTATTTTTCTCTACTGCCTACGAGGAACTCGACTTTCAAGTCATGCTCCACTGTACTCAAACAGTTACGTAAGTAAGCCCAAAAACATAATAATTGACTATTATGTCGTGGTGGCCCGGAGGTGTAAGACCGTTCTCATGAATGGGGGTGCCGGTTAGAAACCTACCAACGGTTAATACCAATGTGACTTTTTCCGAGTTATAAGTACTTTCTAAGATTATTTAGACACCACTGACAAACGATAAAGGAAAACATTATGAGGAAACTTGGACTTATAATTTCTAATTATAAGTTTGAAATCGCCAACCCGCATTGAGCAAGCGTGGTGATTAATGCTTAAACCTTCTCCGTGTGAGAAGAGGCTTTGTACAGTAGTGGGCATTTAATGGCTGTTGATGATGATGATGTCCCATGAAAGTTTTAATAAAGACCTTACAAATGCCAAAACATGAAGTTATAGTAACTCACTTTCATGCCAGCGACAGTCTCATCGAAGGCAACTCCAGACTTGAAGGAAACCTCCTTCTTGCCCTGGGCGGTGGTGGAAGTATAGGTGTAGGTGTCTCCATCCTTAGTGTACTGTAAGGTGGGTTTATAGTTGAGGTAGCCTTGAGTTTGCTCAGCGGGAAGGCCTGTAAGAAGGAGATTTTGGTTTTAACTCGTCAAGTACCGTCATTATAGACACAATTATAGAACAATAGGTTGCGGTCACCGGTGACCGCTTGGTGTATGACAGTTTAAGATTACCATTAGTAACTTATGTTCGACTGCCTCGATGGTCAAGTGGTCGCAAGTACAACTGCTGGGCAAAGGGTCTTGGGTTCGATTCCTGGGTCCGGTAAAGCATTACAGGATTGTTAGAAAAATTCTTAGTAGAGTCAAGGTCCGGAGTTGTGCCCGGGGGGCAATAGTCTCACCCCCTATTACATGGGACTCATAGTATAAAACAGTGAAAATACATACGTTACATTGTTCAGTGGCATTAAGTGCCGTAATGTGCACCTCTGCCTACCCCTTCGGGGATAAAGGGCGTGATGTAATGTTATGTTGTGTTATTGCTTAATACTTTGACTTTATTTTTTCTGTCTGTGTATTTATTCTTAATTATTCTGCTATTGTGCAACAAATCGTCTTTGACTGCAACTACAAAAATGGTGATGGGATTTATATCTCTCGATCGTTATGTTCACGCATTCGTAAGAATATTTACTTTCATGACTTGATTTGAGAAAATATTTCATCATTTAACACCGAATGATGAAAATTCAACTCCTCTTGCTTGGAAACCAATGCGACAACAGATCGATTTTGGATAAATTTAATAAATGACATAATATCTGCACCAATCGGTCAAGTCCACGGCTTTAAAGATATTGTCAATGACGCCACATTTTATCTGAAGAACGGCCTTTAGATTAGCATAATATCATGAAGATATCTTTGAATTTGATAGACTAAATTAAGAATTTTGTATATGTTTTTTTATGGCATAAGCCAGTAAACGAGCAAACGGGGATCAGGAGTTTGAGGATTGTTGGGGATTCAGGGATTGGGGAGATTGGGGAAGGGGAGGGTAATTGGGCCTCCGGTAACCTCACTCACACGACGAAACGCAACGCAAGCATTGCTTCACGTCGGTTTTCTATGATGCTGTGGTATCACTCCGGTCGAGCCGGCCCATTCGTGCCGAAGCATGGCTCTCCCACACTTAAAATGTTTATGAAAAAACGGCTATTTGTGCCCAATGCAAGAGTTAAATGCAGTAGCACTTAACGTCTAATAAAATAACAGTAGAAAGTCTTGTATTTCCGTATACTCTGATCGTTAGCCACCCTTTGCAAAATAATTGAGAATCGACTAGGTTTTCTATCATTTGGGTCTCCACATGATAATGTTGTAATTGATACCTAGTCATGTATCTTAAAAATTCGTGATGGCCCGAACGTTTAAGACGCACGCTTCTCATGCATGAGGGTGCGGGTTCGAAACCTACCAACGGCAAGTACCAATGTGACTTTTTCCGAGTTATATGTACTTTCTAAGATTATTTAGACACCACTGACAAAACGGTAGAGGAAAACATCTTGAGGAAACCTGGGCTTATAATTTTTAATTATAAGTTTGAAATCGCCAACCCGCATTGAGCAAGCAGAGTGATTAATGCTCAAACCTTCTCCGCGTGAGAAGAGGTTATTGATAATGATAATGGTTTCCTTAAGCAACAACGCCGCAGTAGGTCCGAAGCCACGAACAACTCAACAGGTTACCGGGGTTCCAGTTTGTAGCAGTAGGAACTGGATGGTAATTAGTCAGTAAGACTCTGACACTCCCTCTCGCCTCACCCGGGGGGAGAAGTAATTGAATGATTTTTACCTCTAACAAAAACCGAGGCAGTAGGTATAAAATGTAATAGTTAAGTTTTATCTTATTAATGCTCTTGACTTTGATAATATATCTGTATAAATATACAAGTTATTATATGAGCTAATATTTCGAGAAAACAGTAATCCGATTGCAGTTTCAAAGATTAGATATAAGCGTTGCAGGGATCGATACACTCCCTTTTAAATCATTATTTATACTTATGTATGTACAATCTATTTGTCTGTTTGTACACGACTGGTCGAATACTTTACAGGTTACAGGTTAAACCTATAAAGGATTGAGGAGCATATTAAAAAGTAACACTCATTTTAATTTTTAACATCATAACATCATGCCTTTAACCCAGAAGCGGTAGGCAGAGGTGTATATTATGCCACTGTAGAATGTAACAACCACTTTTCACTATTTATGTTATGACTATGAGTCCCATGTAATAGGGTTATGAGAATTATGAGTCTATTGCCATATACCGAGCACAATTTCAGACTCTGTGCTATTACTGAGAATAATTAAAAAAAGACAATCCAAATGTCGGGATCGAACTCGGGTCACTCGACGCTTAAATCGGTCGCCAGACCAATCAGCCAATTCAACAGATAGGATAAAAAAGCCTAGGAATGTGTTATTGCATATCATAATCTACACTTCTTTCAAATTTCATCTAGATTTCTTCAGCAGTTTTGACGCGAAGGACTAACAAACAAACAAACATACAAACATTCACTTTTTTTTAAACGTTGCCCCACACTAGGATTTTCTCCTGTGTCGTGGGTGCGTTTACAAACATACAAGTTCAGATACACAATGACACCCAGACCAGAAACAACAATTTGTGGATCACACAAAGTGTTGTCTCGTGCGGGAATCGAACCCGCGACACGTTGCACGGCAGCCAGTTGCTCAGCCACCGCACCAACCGTGCGGTCAAATTTTATAATATTAGTATCTAGATTGAACTTACCTAAAGCCTTCACGAATTCCTCAAAGTTCTCCTGCCTCTCAAATTTGTATTCCTTGCCTAGGAAAGACATTTTGATAGGAGTGATTACTTCAAATAGCAAACTGAAGGGTTTCAAGGATAAGTTAGTGGGTTATATAGCCGTTGGGTAATCCTTTGGATCAAGATAACCTTATATTTGTAGTGGCTGATAAGTTTTATTGCATCCCGATCTCACGGTGGCGTCGGCTTTCTTTGTGTACAGAGATACACGTCAAACTATGCATACCCAGTATAAGCTGACTGTTGAAAGCACGGAAAAGTTATACGAAGGCAGATTATGATAAATTGGTTTTGTATTGCTTGTGTGTGCAAATGTGTGTTGAAATGTCATTGGTTACATCTATAGCTGTTACACTATCTTCTACTGCTGTTGCGCTAGGTTTTACCTGTGAGTTTCTTCGCCTGTCCGTAAGGTAAGGATCAAATTCAAAGGTTCTATCAAAAAAGAAACAATAATTAAGTACTAAAACATTCTTATTTGCCCATGCAAATAATTTTCATACTGGTACCATGTCATGCTACCGATACAAAGAGACTTTTTTTTAAGTGGGGAAAATCGTCGAATTACTGCTCCCACCTGAGTGAGGCGGGAGGGAGTGTCAGACTCTTACTGACTAAAACCACCCCGTTCCTTCTCCCGCACGTTGAGCCGGAGTCACGGTAACCCGTTAGGTTCTTCGCAACATACAAAGAGACTTAACACTATTTTCGTCAATAATGTCGTACTTAAGATGGCCAGGGTGCAGGTCCCGAAGCCAACTATAAAAGCAAGTGTAAAATATTGGAATCATCTAGGTACTACAATTTTTGGATATAGCAGTTGTTTACATACTCATTTTTTAAAGGAGAATGTCCAAAAATTAATGGTGCAAAAACCCTGAACCGATTAATGTTTTTATTACTTCCACTGTCATACCTTTATTGTCTTTTTTTATATATTTTATTTATGCTGCTCGTGGTAATCTTATAGGTTCAGGGGTTTGCTTGTAATTCTCCTAACTAAATGTAATTCCTTATCTGTATTTTTCATAGCTTTTATTAGGTAGTAGCAAACATAAAAACAAAAAAAAATGTGAATTATTCACGCGCCCAAATAAAATTGTAATATAGGTACTACAGGCTTCTGGCCTGTTCGGTTATGCTTTTACCTTGAAAGAATAGCGTATTCGTGTCCTCTTAGGTACGGTCTATTATCAACAGCCTATAAGTGGCCACTGCTGACCGAAGGCCTCTTCTCACACGAAGAAATCACCACGCTTGCTCAATGCGGGTTGTCGATTTCAAACTTATACTTAGAAATTATAATCTCAGATTTCCTCACGATGTTTTCAGAGTGTCTAGATGATCTTAGAGGTTGAAAGTACCTTGGAACAAGTTACATTGGTACTTGTCGTTGGTAGGTTTTGAACCCACACACTCATGCATGAGAAGCTTAGTCTTAAACGACTGGGCCACCACGACTTGCCTATGGTCTATGTCTATATTGTCGATGAATGATTGAAATCGACTCTGAATTTTCTCTTGGACATTCTCCGAAAATTCATAACTCCCACATGAAATTACCAAGATTGATGAAAAAACACACAAAAACAGACAGTGTTAACTTTTTACTAAACCAGTAGAAAAATTATTATCGGCTGGTTGAATCATACTTGCAGTATGATAAAGACTATACCTAGGTGTGACTTATATATTATGTATAGAACTTCCGTTTTTTGTTGAATTACTGTGTAAATATTTTTAAGTCAAATGCCTAACATGATAAGTATGGCTTATTCTCTTCAATCTCCATACCTAACTACAGCAACAAAGCGTTCATCTTTATGATAGCTTAAAAAAATGAGAGTACTTGTTCTCTTATACTTGAATACCTACCTAGTCATTTCACTACATACATCTATATAAAAGAATGTCTTGTTAGTTACGCGGATTATATGCGGGAAAGCCATGCTACGGCATATAATGGGCCGGCTCGACCGAAGTGATACCACGGCGTCACAGAAAACCGACGTGAAATAACGCTTGTGTTGTACTTCGTTGTGTGAGTGAGGGTACCAAAGGCTCATTGTGTCATTCTCTTAGTAGGTAGCCATGGATACAGGATCATGACCCAAGTCTGCCGTTAAATAGGACCACTTCAGCATGAGCAAGACAGGGCCTTGCGCTGGGTATTCTACTGGCCCCTCAAGTGACTCGCGGACAAACAAGCTACCAATTAGAAATCAGCAATTTAGATTAAATTAATAAATTAACAAACATAATGATGTCTTGTAACAAAACAAAAAAATATTGATTTATTATTTTTATTAATATTTTTAGGTTTTAATTGCTTTTAAGTTATATTTTCTTTATTTGTGTGACACACTGTCTCGGTATCATATTATCGTTTCCTGCCACAGGCCCACTTGAAGAATTCCAGATCTGAACCCAGTGATAGGTTCAGACCAGGCGTACTGCTTTCGAAACACAATTCCATACAATTGGTACATACATATTATTATTTGTCTTCATCAAGTATCTAACATTACATAAACCACTCAATTTCTTCGCTACAAATGTAATAAATGTAATAATTGTTACTTTTTTTTTCTTATCTAATTGCTTAATGATAAAATATCAGGTGAGGTAAACACTATAGGTACTAGTAAATATTGCTACATATATCTACTTTAGCACTTAATAATCTAGAGATAAATAAATAAAAATGGTTGATTCAATACTTTACTAGAATGTTCTGTTCGCCAAATTGGAGGAAATGAGGTCATTTAGTTTGCAACCTCATTTCCTAAGAAGGACCGCCTATCACTGACATGACAAATACTTATTGTACACAATCATTAGTAAGTAGTTTCAGGTTTAATATCAACAGAGACCAATATATGAATAAACTTAATTATGTCTTTTTTTGCAAATAAATGGCTGTTGGATATTTTCTTTTAAGGGGGAAAAATCATGGAATGGCTTCTTCCATCTGGGTGAGGCGGGAGGGAGTGTCAGACTCTTACTGACTAAAAACAACCCCGTTCCTACTCATGCACTTCAAGCCGGAGCCCCGGTAACGCGTTAGGTTATCCGCGGTTCCGTGGCTACTGGATATGAACTGAAAATTCGAGTATATGTCTGAATGTAGGTACGTTATTATAATAAAAACACTTGTACCAAACTGGCCATCTTTCGATTATTCATATTAAAGAAAACTATATTTTTGAATTTGTTAAAACGTTCCAAAATGCCTAGAAAACATAACATAACTTTACGCCTTTTATTCCAGGCAGAAGTGCACATTATGGTACTTAATGCCACTGTACAATGTAACACAAATTTTTCACTATTTTATGTTATGAGCCCCACGTAATAGGAGGTGAGTCTATTGCAATATTGTCACATTTCCAAAATTTAGAACTAATACACATAAAATAATTATTAATTCCTTAAAAGATCATGCGTTGCTAATTTTAGATTTAAGAAAACAAATTATATATTAAACAAACAAGTGATAACAGGTATAGTCAGTTAATGCCTGTTACTTTTACGCCTCCAGTTCATCCTGCAATAACGCTTGCGTAAAGACCTCGAAACAAGACGGACATAATGTCAATTATAAATGATTGCAGCACCAAAATGTTCATGAATTATTTATGTGTGCGTGTCCACGTTACCAGACTTAAGAAAATGACAGATGTCCTTCGTGTCAATGTGTGTATTCTGCGTGTAAGTGTATAGTAGCCAGGTGCCACAGTCGTTGTTTCAAGAGACTCTGTTCAGCTTTTTTATAGTCCTTGCTTGCGGCTTTTAATCTAAGCAACTAAGAAGATAAATTACCAACTAACAATTAAATTTATTACATTTATACAACCATCTTATCTTCATTGCATTATCGGATTGATCCTAAATTGCTGTACGATCATTATTTGCTATTTTATATAGATCTGCATTTATTTATCAATAAGTAGATAGGTACGTGCCGTTCCCCTCTCTGATAAAGTAAGGTGTGATATTATATTGATCAAAGTGCAAAAGATATTGTGCAGTCTTAAGAGCGCATTTTGAACTGTGATGCTTTAGGGTTTTAAAGGGTAAAAATTATCGAATGACTGGTCCCGCCTGGCTGTGGCGGGAGGGAGAGTCACTCTTACTGACTAAAAACCACCCCGTTCCAACTCCTGCACTTCGAGCCGGAGCCCCGGTAACCCATTAGGTTCTTTGCGGATCCGTATCGGCATCAGCCCTGTTGGGCCCCATCTGTGGTGGTCTGATGACTCTTTGAGTATACATTATAGTTATTACTTATTTGTATTTTAAGCCATATGGATACGTCAATTCCATCGTACCTTATCTAATTAAATATACTCTGTAAATGAAAAGGAATCATTAACAAGGTATGACATAAATAAAAGAAAAGTTATGTCAATCTTACCAGTTCACGTATTTTAAGTTATTGTATATATTTATTCATAATTACGTTTTCGATTTCAATGTAAGATATAGAATGATCTAGAAGTAAAATTTTGAAAAGATCAACTGTGATGCTAATGGGTTTAAAATGTATGTTTCAATTAAAATTATCTTCTTTATCAGATAATGCTATTAAAACCAGTGATTATCTTTTAAGTGTTCATATTTAACAACTGTGATTTAATAGTTGTAATTAGTTAAAGTTATAAGCTCTTTGATCAGATTTCATTTCCTAAAATTCTTAGTAGTAGCACG